CTCGGCCTTTGGGAGGGTTGTGCGGTACCGGGCGAGTGCCTAAACCGTACATGGTCGAATTTCTAAGGCAAAAAGCACGAATTATAAAAATCTTATACTTGACGCTGGCTAATGCACAAACCGTGCCAAAGCCATAAAAAAAAGTAATCTTATAGCTACACATATACGTATAAGTCAATTAAGTACATCTAACATATTAAAACTCGTGTCACAATGTTCGTTCCCATACTCCACCGTAACAGCTCGACCGATTCTTATGAATTTTTTTATGCATATTCAGTAAGTCTGAGAATCGGCTACTATCCATCATTCAAACCCCTAAGTGATAAGGGGTGTCAACCCCTAAAAAAAAATAAAGAAATGGAGAGGACACATTATGAGAAAATAAAGATAAATGGACGAAGTCCTATTCTATGACAAAAGAAAACAAGGAAGTCAAATTAAAAGATGGGAAGATGATGTGCGAAGATCAGCTGGCCCTATGTGGCCCCGTAAAGCTAGGAACAGAGAAGAGTGGAAGCCCTTAGAGGCTTGCCGATTAATTATTAGTGTTTATTATTTAGTACTTCACATTTTTATGTACTAGTATAAGTAATTACAACAATAAAGGCTTTTATTAACCCTTTGGTAACCCTCAGAGTTCACGTTCATAAAAGTAAATAAATATATGATCAGACTGTCAAAACTTTCCGTAACAATGGGGCACGTGTCAGTCAGATTTTTGCATGTTCATAATCTTTGAATTCAAGACGTATACTTTTGTATAAGTCAAAGTTGATTGATGATAACAATAAGCACACTTATTTTAAATAAGTGCTCAACTACTGAGCTACTAGCGATTAATATCCCAATACTCTGCCGGATAGAAAGTGAATATCTCGGGTATACGTAAATGTTGATTGGAGAACAATAAATAATGACACTTACTTTAAATAAGTGCTCAACTACTGAGCTACTGGCGATTAGTAACCCAATACTCTGCCGAATAGAAAGTGAATATCTCGGGTATAAGTTAATGTTGATTGGAGAACAATAAATAATGACACTTACTTTAAATAAGTGCTCAACTACTGAGCTACTGGCGATTAATATCCCAATACTCTGCCGAATAGGACGTTAATATCTCGAGTGTATGTTAAGGTTGATTTATAGCAAATTTTCTCAAGATACTACAATTTTCCTACGTGAAAATGTGAAAATTCAAAAGCTCCTTTAAAATTATTGCGGGTAACAATAAAGTTGATTTATAGCGACTATCTCGTGTAAGTATGACCTAGTATCGCAATTTAATATCTAATTGTATCTTTAGTGATGTTAATATCATATTAAATAAAATAAATCATTGGCGCTACAACCTTTTTTAGGTCTGGGCCTCAGATTTCTGTATCTGTTTCATGATCAGTGTTTATCTCAGGCCTCCTGTGCCTGACACACGCCATCGACTTTATTAGTGTAAGGCAATCCGGTTTCCGCACGATTTCCTTCACGGTTCGAGCGAATGTTAAATGCGCACATAGAAAGTCCATTGGTGCACAGCCGGGGATCGAACCTACGACCTCAGGGATGACAGTCGCACGCTGAAGCCACTAGGCTAACATTGCTATAAAATATGCCAACGTAGAAAGCTAGCCATAAATAAAAAAATAATAAATAAAGTCAAATTTAAGAGCGATAAAATCTAGCTGTCAGATCAATTGCTTTACAAAATATAAACACAATGTTTGCGACCACATGCCTATACTTGCCTTGGTTCGCGGTTTCATATTCGTCATATACGTACTTGGCATTACCGTTCAAACAAGCTTTCTTTAAAAAGGCCGGCAACGCACTCGCGATGAAGCGGCGTATTTCTTTAAAGTAGGTATGCCATCCGCCCCATGCCATCTGTTTTTTAAATAACTTAGATAATATTAACGCTCCAAGATTTTCACGTTTGGAATCAGGAATAGACATTGTTTTATCGTATTTTTGAATAGTGTTGGCCCAGCTTCAGCGTCTGACATCACAGGGTTCAATTTAATGAAAAATGCGGCGAGTGTATCATCCGTCGTATCTAGTCAGTTTCTGCGTTTAGCATCTACAGAGCGGTTGAGTTGTGTGATATTGAATTTTAAAATGAAGCCCATCGAAATAGTTATACACAATATCGGTACAGTGAACACTTTGCGAATATATAAAGATGTCGATAGTGTCAGAGATAGCATTCACTAGACGCAACGTATTTGTTAACAGTCTGTACAACAGACTGGTTCTGGTTATCAGAAACAATCTAAGCCTTCGCCGTCTCACATCCCCTAGGTACAAAGAAACCGAGTTCTTGAAGAACACTTGGGTATTTAAGTATGCCATACCAACTATAATTAAAACTTTAAATATCGACAACGATGCCGGAATTTTTCATGCAATTTCTATACTTCACTCCGTATGATGACTTTAAGATAACAAGAACTAAACATAGAACTCGCGTAATTTTCAGTACAAAACTAATTTATAATATAACTCAGAGACGTCTAATTCACTAGCGATTAACGTGTCTGGCGGCGGTGACGCACTAATCAGCCCTTCGCTCTGACATATAGGACCTCGGAATGATTAAACAATTAGATTTATGGCTTTTAGCCTCCCCGTCTGTCATTAGGGAAACCGCAACACTACTGGGGATATCAACACATAATACCCTCTAATGTTTAATTTAATTTAAATAAAAATAGCCTTTATTCGTGTACCTACTTACATTAAGGGCCGTTCACGTATTACGTAAGCAGATATACTGCAATTTATCCCCCCCTCCTCTCTTGTCAGCAAAAGTAAGCAAAGCTCTCAAAAATAATAGGACATAAACGTATTCATTTTTCGTCGGAATCCTCGAGAATGCATTTGTGTAAAAAAGTAAATAATTACTGTTGACGCGATCACCAAATAAGGAAATTAAAGCTCTTATTTAACCCAAGCTGTGAAAAATACCAATAAAAATCCTTTGTTACAGGAAACGGGCAGGAGGCTCACCTGATGTTATGTGATACCGCCGCCCTTAAACACTCGCACAGCCAGAAGGCTCGCAAGCGCGCTGCTGGCCTTTTATGAATTGTTACGCTCTTTTCTTACCCTAAGTCGAATTGGTTCGGAAATACTTCAGTGGGCAGCTGGTTCCACAATGTGGTGGTGCCTTAGAAGTTGGCTTAAACGCTCAGTTGTGGAACAACGGACGTCAAGTTATACGGATAGTATATTATCCCTATATTGTGAAAACTATTGACAATAGAGCAAAGTGATGTACCTACTACGGTTTTATGGAAGACATATCTAAAGAAATTGGATACCCAAATAATATAATAACAGCCTATATTGCTGTAAAATACTTATCCTAGTAAATAAAAATGTAAAGTAGTACTATGAACACTAATGATTAATCGGCAAGCCGGTTAATTTCTGTTTTCCAGCTTGTATATACATAGGCGGTAGGCCTCCTCTAAGAGCTTCCAATTTTTTTTTTATAGAACAGGCAGCAAACGAGCAGGAGGCTCACCTGATGTTAAGTGATACCGCCGTCCATGGACACTCTCAATGCCAGAGGGCGAGTGCGTTGCCGGCCTTTTAAGAATTGGTACGCTCTTTTCTTTGAAGGACCCTAAGTCGAATTCTAAAAAGTATTCGAATCTTCTCTAGCTTTACGTAGCCACATAGGGCCAGCTGCTCTTCTTATCATCTCCCCATATTTTTATTAATCTTCCGCTATGAATATAATACTGCGTCCTGTCCATTTCCATTTCAATTTTTTACTAGAGGTAAGAGCATTTCTAAACATTAGTCTCTTTTTTTCTTCCAGTTTTACTCTATCTTTCAAGTCCAGACCTAGAACACTCCTTCCGGTACTATTTTGACATACTCTTAGTTTGTTTTCTTGTTTATCAGTTATTGACATGCGTAGACAGGTACGGTAATATAAATACCCTATGTTTATTAAATCTCTATATTCATATAAAATTCTCGTGTCAATGTTCGTTCCCATACTCCTCCGAAACGGCTCGACCGGTTCTTATGAAATTTTTATGCATATTCAGTAAGTCTGAGTAAAGCCCAAACTTTATTCAAACCCCTAAGTGATAAGGGGTGTCCATCCCAAAAAAAAATATTTTTATTTTTTGGATACATTTTTTTTATTTTTTATTTCTTTATACTGTGGCATCAAATAATACATACAACCCTAAATTTCACTATCACCATCTCCTATTTTTCATTATAGTAGATAGTTCTTTTTATTGAACTAAAAATTTTTTTCCAAAAAATAATAGACACGGCAAAACAACGTTTGTCGGGTCAGCTAGTATTCAATAAAATAAATATCCAACCATGCAAAGGTCTAAACACTAGTCTTAATAATTGAAATAAAAAGTGGTACTAATATGCTTGAGGCACTATTCAGCTATTAAATACATAATAAATAATAACGAACAGTTATTAACTTCAACAACATAATTATTATCGCGTCCATAAATAAAATAACAATAAATTAAAATATGCAAATGGCGGTCAAGCTCCCAAACCGTTATGGAAATTACGATAAAATAATGCATACATATTTTCTAAAGAGGTAAAATAAAACGGCCGAAAACTTACGGACACTACCTCTTAATGATAGATGTAGAGAAAAGCTTAGAGCTTTAATGCGTAGAAAAAGTCAGCGACATAATATAACTTTTATATTAAAACAAATCTTTTTTCTATATAATAGGAGGCAAACGGGCAGGAGGCTCAACTGATGTTAAGTGATAGACATATTGCCAGAAGGCTCGCAAGTGCGTTGCCGGCCTTAAGTCTCTCTAGTCGGTTCGCGATCTGTCCACGAACGAGGAGAAGTTTTGAGTAAACAATTGAAGCTGATAAAATCCTCTTCTTAAATTACATGTCTTTTTCATAAACATCTGTGAGCTATGGTTTGTTTTCTTATAGTGTCCAAATAAATAAGTTTTTTTATGGAATGTAATCTCGCTGTTGTCTGCTTAGCCCAGGTTTTGTCGAGTGTAGCTCGGCCTTAATGGCCTTTTCCTGCGACTAGCACTAGCTTGTGCTGCCACGGGGTGGCCTGAAGAGCAATTTAGTTAATAAATTAACAATTATTATTGTGGAATATCAAAAATTATTTAATTATAGAATGCATATATACCTACTCTTCTGTTATCTTCCTTAATGGAAATTAAATGTCTGACAAATTTCCTACATTTTATTTATTAACAACGAAACATTCTCGAAAGTTTATTGGCTATCCAATAAAACGCAGCCAAAGACACGGGCTCGTCATGTATAAACGGTTTTATGGCTCAATTTAGTTGGGCCGGTCGGTTACCTGCGCACACGCAAGCCGGTTTGTGATACACCCCGCACCTCACCTTGTGCAGACAACTGGAACGGCATGCCTATTACTGATATTTTAATAACAGGCGCCGTCGCAAAATTGTACGATTTACGAAGGTTAATACGACTACTTAACAGCTGTGCAGTAGTGCGGTACTACATTAAATAGATTCAATAGAAGAACGGGTCATACTACGCTTTTAACTTCCGAACCAATTCGACGATTCTTTCAAGAGGGTAACTATTTTTAATAGGCCGGCAACGCGAGCCCTCTGGCGTTGATATTGTCCATGGGCGGTATCACTTAACATTAGGTAAACCTCCCGTTTGCCCTCTGTTCTATAAAAAAAAGATCACTTATTAATTCCTTTTAATTTTGATCAAAAAATGTGTACATATAATATCTGTACTGTTTTGGCTGCATTCAAGAATTGCGTTATTTATAATTAGTTATAAAAAGGTTTAGGTTTTATGTATTTACTTGTTTTGCTTAGTTTTGATAATAATACCTTTCTATTGTATTAGTATTAAGTTACTGTAAAAATAGGAAATAAGGAAAATAATTAAACAAATATTTGCATAAAACATAGCTTAAACATACGGTCGTATTATAATCGCGTAAGCTTATATCGGAATTCCGCAACGGCGTTTTTGCTTGTGACTTCTCAGGAAACAGGCATCCTTTGTTATAAGATACAGCCGGCAACATATTATATTCTTTGCACTTCGATTTGTAAAGAAATCTGTAAGGAATGTTTTTGTACCGTACTGTTAAAATATCAATATTGCATTGTTCAAAGCTGAAGTGTTTGAATGTTTGATTAAACGCGAAAATCTTAGGTATAATTTTGTCATTGTGTCCCGTTTATAGAGAAACGCTTTATAACTACGACCGTATTGGCTGGTGGTAGATGAGACAAAGACAAAATTAAGTAAGAAGGAAAGTTAGAAGTTAGAAAGCTACTTGGCTAATGGCATTAAAAAAAAACAAAATCGGCAATATATATCCGTCGTTCCACAACTGAACGTTTTTAAGACAGTTTTTGCCGCGCACCACCACTATGTGGAACCAGCTGCCCACTGAAGTTTTCCGAACCAATTCGACTTAGGGTCCTTCAAGAAAAGAGCGTATCAATTCTTGAAAGGCCGGTACTCGCGAGCCATCTGGCATTGAGACTGACCATGGGCGCTATCACTCAATCAAGATTTAGACTTAGATAATCAAGATGGTCTACTTCCTCTATAAACATCAAAACTACCAAATTATAATTTATCATAAATCATAATAATTTATAATTCTTAATAAGATAATAATAATTAAAAACGGATAATTATGGTAAAAAAACATGAAATCAATTTTTATCTTCTGTAATTTATGAATCGATGTATTAATTGTTCTGTGTTTATGTTTGCCTGTAAGTACTTGTCACGTTAAATCTTATATTTCGGTTTTCAAATAAATTATTATTTGTTAAAGTTATATTATTTAATTACCTAAACTCAACCAAACTCAAACTCAAAATATCTTTATTCAAGTAGTAACAAGTACACTTTTAATCGTCAAGTTAAATTAATCGTAAATTTACATTTCTACCAGTTCGCAAGTCAAGGGCGTAGAGCGGGTAAGAAGAACTGGCAAGAAACTTTCCGCCACTCTTTTTAATCGCCAAGTATTGTCATACAAATTGTTTGAACTGGAGAAATTCAATCCCAAGGATAGGATCATTTAAGTAGTCCTCAAATTTATAAAAAGCTTTGTTGATTAATTTTCGTTTAACGAGGCTTTGAATTTATTTAGTGATAATTCTCTAATTTCGCTTGGGACTTGTTGTAAAAACAATACAATTTCCATATAAGGAGTGGTTTATCTTTTGGAGCCTGTTTCTACTCTCAAATTAGTTCTATTTCGCGTATTATACTGGTGAAAGTACCATTTGTTTTAAAATCGTTTATATTTTTTGGACATACAACAGGCTTCAAAATATATTGACCAGATAGTGTCATAATATTTAATTCCTTAAACTTATTCCGTACCGACTCCCCCAGAAACACAACAAATATTTAATGAGCTATTCAAATATATATTTGCAGACGTGTTAACGTTAAGAATTCTTACTACGTTAAAGATGCCAAATTGTCGTCGTCAGATGTCCGAGAAGAATTCGGAAGGCATTCCCAGTCAGAAATTAAATATTATACTGACATGGAAATTTCCTAAATGGGAATTCATTTAGCCTTTTTAGTGATAGTCAGAGTTCCTACGAGACTCAACAATATGCTGTAGATGATTTCTATATTTCTTTGGTCTACTCGCCCGTCGCGAACCTGTAAAACCTGATTGCCGTCACAAAAAAGTCACGATTCTCACGGGTCTCCTCATAACAGTTGCGGTAAAAGAAGCTATAGACCGAACAGGGGGGAAAGCTGTCCCTAGAAAAGGTAAAAGGTACAGCAAAGTGGGCAGCTTACAGTGACGACCTTCAATGAAGAATACGACTCAGAAGAAGAAGATTTTAGAATTGTTTTATTTATTTATTTCGTAATCCTACTTACAAACAATATAATATAAAAACAAATATTTACAAATTACAAATATAGCTCAAGATGGAATACATAATATTTACAAAAAGGTTCAAACATTTACAAAAGGGTAAAATCAATAAAAATTATTCAATACATTTAACTAAGAAATACCTAATTTGGTTGTGATGTGTGATGGTGTAAAAGTGATGTATGTGGGGTGATTTTGTGCTATGGATATTCTTAATACTCTTTTAGCCATATTCCTCGATAGCTTTAACAAGTCAAGGCTTAAATATTGGTCGTTGTATGTCCAGCGCGATACAAAACTGAGTTTTATATGTAACAGAGAGATACATAAAACATAGTGAAACCGACGGGTCCTAGCGCGAACTACTAATAGAAGATCCTAAAATTTTTCTCGACTCGTAAAATTAATAAAGAGGATGCCGTGCTAAGGGATAAATAAAGAGTGACTCAAAAGGATGTAGCGCTACAAATATTCGTATAAATTATTATAAACACCAAACAAAATCTAGTTATTATTTTAGTGATATTTCTATTTTAGATTAAGTTTGGTAATTGTATAATTTTTCAGTGTTATTTGTAATTTATATTTTTGTTGATTTGGTTATGCACTTTACACTTAGTATTTCATTTATATTAATTCTCATACTAGGGTTGCCTAGAAGAGGTTGCTTGTTAACGATAAGGCCGTTGCATCCCTAATAATATATGATACTTGTAATGTAAGTTACAAATAAAAACAACTCTGGATAAACTCATTAACAAGTTGTTAACAAAATGTTTATGTTACCTACTCAAAATTACCCGTAGATTAGTAGGTTGATAGACACGAAACAGACATTCTGTGTCTATTTGATTATTAAAAATAGAAACATTTATTGTTGCGAACCTTTGCGAGGTAAGAACTAAATCAAAATTTATTTAATCATATTGTACCTAACACTCCACTCTGTTGATCCAGCGGTACCTCATTCACCACCCGATCAGAGTAGAGGAGGACCTGCTACATTTGAAAGCCAGCAATTGGAGAGAGGTTGGTATAGGGACCACTGGAAGATTCTCATTTCGCAGGCCAAGAGACTTTTTGGGTCGCAGTCCCGGTGAGTAACCTAACACTAATGAACGTCATTATTCAAAATGGAATATCTAAATTTACTACCAGTTCACATCAAGGGCGTAGAGACAAGAACTGGCAAGAAACTGTCTGCTACTTTTTTAATCACCAAGTTTTTGGTTTACATGGAAATCGTAAGGAACTGTAGCCATTGTGCACCACGTCACATGACATATTCAAACAGAATATTATAAAAATAATAACATAGGCAAATTTATTTATTTTTAACACTAACTAACTTAATAGTACATATAGTACAGGTAACATAAATTATTAAGGAGGCAACGGATTAATGCTAAGTGCTCTGTTCAGACAACCCTAGTAATGAAAAAGAAATAAGTAATATCCCTTACAATTACTAAAATAAAAGCTAATCTTAAAGTTCATCTCTTTGCCTCATCTGCAACTGTAAAGAGGGCAAAGAGAGCCGGAAAGTCTAGGGGTTATATGACATTAGGTCAAGTAACTGAGGTTCCAAAATACAATAGAAAAAGTATAAGACGAATTACAAATTTTCATTGAGAGGATATGGGATATGGTTAAGAGGTGTTTGTGTAGAAGACTTTCAAAAGACATAAAGATACAACCTTCATATTCAATTCAAAAATCATTTATTCATATAGGTAACAAAATGTACCCTTATGAACGTCAAAAAATAAATATTTATGAAATGCTTCTAATTTTACATTTACTGCCAGTTCTCACATCAAGGGCGTAGAATTGAAGAGAAGAACTGGCAATAAACTCTCCGCCAGTCTTTTTAATCGCCAAGTTTTTTGTTTTAGGGCCTTAGATTTCTGTATGTTGATCAATTGTCAATCTAATAGGCAAGTAGATGATTAGCCTCCTGTGCCACACGCCGTCGGCTTTTTGGGTCTAAGCAAGTTTCAATATGTTTTCCTTCACCGTTCGAGCAAATGTTAACTGCACGTAGACAGCCATTGGTGATGAGAGCCGCACGCAAAAGCAACACTGCTGCATTCATAAGACAAGAGAACTTATTTTATTATTTTATTTATTTAGTTATGAAGCTTACGATATCACACACAATACTAAATCTACTAATTATTTTACAAAATCCTACATCTAAAAATGTGTGACAATTAAAGTGAACATAAGTTTCACAAAAAAAAAGATATTAAAAATACAAGTAAAACATTACAAGATAATACAAGCACACAATAAAATAAAATAAAATTATAGAAATTTGTTGGGACTTAAAGCAGAAAAAAATAAAAACCATCAGCAAAACAGCGAAATTAGGTTCGAGTATGCTTTCTTTAAAACCGATCAGCCCACTACCGAATATATCCAGCTCCGGATAAACTGTGTTCTCTGTTCAATCCGTTAAAATCGCTAAAAACTTAAAATTCAATTAAGATTTGATGTAATTGACAAATCTCAATCCAACGAAACAATAAGAAATCGCAAAGTTATTGCCTCACACTGTTATAGCTTATTCAGAACAAAACACTTGTGCGGTATTCGCTTGTTTAAAAACCACGTACCGAGAATGCGTTCGTAAGCATATAGGTCGTATGTGTGTGGTCGAATAACAAAGCCATCTTAAAATCATTTAGTAAACATTGAATTGTAGTTTTAGTTACCACCTGAAAGCCATCATGAATCGTGTTATAAAAAATTTATAACAACTGGTGGTTCAACAGTCCATTCATGAAAAAAAATGACTCTTGTAGTAGAAAGAAACTCCATATTTACTCTTTTAAAATAGTTTTTACAATATATTGATTTTTGAGATTTGTCCCTAGAACAAAAAAAAAACTAGTAAACTAAAATAAAATAGGCGCATGGTGTTATGAAAAACAATGAAGCAGAGAACTAAATTATTATGGTGCTCACATATTTACATAATTAATATTTTTTTTAACTGCGTAATTAAATTAAACAAATAAAGTAATGAACGCGATTTAACTCGTATAAGTTGTTTTATACCCAACTCAAATTTTAATTAAATTTTTTGGGATATGTTTTAGGTAATATAATTTAAAAAAGGGATTTTAATTTAATGCATCAAAATGCAATTTTTTTTAAAACAAAGTAATCTGTCGTCGTTCTGTATTAAGTGTTAAAACAAAGTAACCTGTCGTCGTTCTGTATTAAGTGTTAAATGTAATAATTTGTACTGTGATAAGAGGTGACTAGGTTCTAAAGATTCCCGTTGTGTCGGAATTATTTTTTGTAGGTATGTCCTTCGGAAACGTCAGCTCCGATATAGAAACTTTGTCAGATCATATAATTTAAGAGACTTTAGCTTTATAAAGTTTTGTTTTATTTAAAAAGATACACAACAGTTATTATTATCTTCATTATGACTCAATAATGCTTTCACAAAAGTCGTCAGTTTTTAAAATATGTACGGGTTAAATAATTTATAACTGAAATAACTTAAAATTTAAATAATTAAACAGTTTCTTCAAATTAGAAGCGTACCTGACCTTGTCTCCAAAAGTGTTACGTTTTTATTTCGTATCTTAGTAAATTTTCGAGGTAAATTATTTCAAGTGACGGTTATCTATGTTAGCTTTTAAATTTACCTACAGCTTCTAAGATTCCAAGTAAAATTAGTGCATACAACATTTTTAAATAAAACTGGCAAATCTTAATATATATATTTCTTCTGTGCGTGTGTATGTGACTGAACTCCTCTCAAACGACTGGACCGATTTTGATGAAATTTTTTGTGTGTGTTCAAGGGGATCTGGGAATGGTTTAGATTCACAAATCAGCCCGGCAGATGGCACTGCAGTCGGTACTTTCATACTTTGCTTAATATCCTAATCGCTTTAAATATCATGCAGGACAACGTCTGTGGGGTCCACTAGTATCTTTATAAACTTCTACGGTACATACCCCTGTGGTGTCGAACTCGGTGATGTGTAACTGGACGACAACATGGTTGTTCCTGATAAGTAGTCCAGGAATCCGCCAAAACAGAACCCAGGGCTGCCCATACGAGCGCCACTAGCCATTGTCTTTGACCACCGGCCATTGCCCGGGCACATTCACCTGCACTGTACTCACAATTAAACTGAAAAATACCTATTGTATTCTTAAATCAACAAACTATTCCGGAAATCTTGAACAATGTTCATCTGTTTACATTACGCTAAATCGACTGCCGGCAAGTTTCCGTTCAAATACTAGTTTAGTAATCGTATAATATCGCGGGTTCACTCCCATCGACTATAGTTATCCGCGCTCGCATAACCGAGTTGCGACGTGCATCACCGCCAACGTCGTATCGCAAACTAAACGCTGAAGAGCCGCTTCGAAATGCTCGATCAACTCGTTGGAGACAAACGAAACTTTGGAGAATCCTTTGAGTAAGACAAGGACAGCTACAGCGGATAGGAAGTCCCGTTTACACGCTTAGAAAAGTTGTGGATTAAAAAGTTTTGATAATTTTGCCGATTCAATGATGTTTCGAAGACCTGGGGGAGATTTGTCAATGACCCCTCGTCGTTACGGACATATTGTAATAAAGGGGATGGTTTGTGAAATCGAAGTAAATTTACCTAATTTATGTTTGGGTAAGACGCATAAAGTTTTATGTTTGTAAGCACGCGAAAGGAAGTTATTTGTAAAGATGTGAGTCACGTCAAATTGGATATGTGAGTTGTAAATTATGTTTAGTTTCAAACAAGTCGTTAAGATGTCACTAATAATATAGCGCCGCCTAATTTACATAGTAATTTATTGTTGACATAGTAAAAACATAATGGGTGTAGCAAGATTCAGGGTACGATTTAGAGGCGTGATTTCCGTATATCAAAAACGTATCTAAATTTAACATAATAATAATAATAAAGCCTTATAAGCCATTTCAAATGGCGTTAGTATTTACTACTACTAATAGCTAAATGCTATATATGTAAATATGTTAGTCGCCTGTGGATATGGCCCCACTTGGGTGAAGCCCTCTAACCCTTTCCAGACTTTGCCAAGTATTTTTCTGCTATATCTATTATAGCCCACCTTCTTTTTGTCCTGCCTACTCTTCTTCCATTGTGTTGTCTTAAATCTGTTGTCTAGGTACATTTTTTTACAGAATAATGTAATAAAATCGTAATATGTTACATTTGAAAACCACTGTGGTTTGTATAAATGTAACCATACCCTTCTTGTGTTATAATAATAATAAATATACGCATCAAATGCTATAAAAGTAGTTTTTCAACTTACTTCTTATGTTGGTTAACGTTAGGGCTTCGGCTATCTAATAACTGACTGGATAGTCCATTTATTAGACGCGGTAGCAAATACCTCAACGTTCTCTCACCATAGACGTTGTTTGCTCTCGATGTACAAAGCCGAACTTGCGTTACCGCTCGGGTCTGTAGTCTTTACGTTATGCTCATTCACTCTTTTTTTTATGTCACCTCGAAAAAAAATATGACCATGAACAGTCACATTTTGCTAAATTTGACTTAAGGATTTTTTTAACGGTAATTCTAATGCTAAAACAATTATACTAAACATATAGCCAAATATTGAATACAAAATATATACAAAAGGTACAAATATTAACGAAAGGAGAAAAAATTACAGAACATAGTTATTATTACTATGTTTTGTACTTATTCTTTTTTTATGACACAGGAGGCAAACGTGGTGCAGGAGGCCACCCGCCCATGTAAACTCGCTGCAGATGGACCAAGCGCACTGCCGGCCTTTTCAGAATTGGTAGGAACACTCTTTTCTTGAAGGACCCTAAATCAATTGCTTCTTACTTCAGTGGGCAGCTGGTTCCACATAGTGGTGGTGCGCGGCAGAAATTGCCTTAAGAAACTCTCAGTTGTGGAATGACGGTTGTGTTGTGTGATGGTGTAAATGTCATCACATTTATGTGGGCGTGATCATGATGAAGGTGATTTAGTGATATGGATATTTTTAATACACCTTAGCATTCCTGCGATAGCTAAAACATGTCAAGGTTTTGTATGAGTATTTTGCATAGTTGGTGTTGATGTGAGGAAATTATTACGTATGTATATTAAAATAAGGATAAGTGTAAACTTATCACATTTAAATGTTAATACTCGGAACAAACGCAGGCTGCAATTTCCCCGTACTAGACTATCTACAGTTAGTAATTCTTTTTTGGGAAAAGGGATACTCTTCTTTAATAAAATCCCAGAGGCTCTTTTATCTCTGCTCTTTTAATAAATTTAAGAAATGTATTAAAGAAAAGCTGTCTAAAAAGGCTTACTATAAAGTTAACCATTATCTAGTTGATAAAAGGGACTAGTGCTAGACAGGCTACTTCAAATTAATTTGCAATATTTGTTTTAAAATAAATGTTGTTTGATGATTTTCTATTTTGAAAGAGTACCGAGAGTTTTTTACGCCGGCTTCTTCTCTCGGCCACCCTCTGTCTTCTTTGCCGATGAGTGGGGATGCCTACAGATTCAAATTTGTGGAATAAGTGATACCTGTATCTTTTGTTCCATAATAAACATATTTTTTTTTAACGTGAAACAAACCACGATCTTGAGTCTGGTAGGCAGCGCTTCCATGCATTTTCTAGAAGTACGCTGGAATCTTATTTGACCGTCTTTCATAAGACCGAATACGACCACACTGTCATATGTAAAATGACTAAGGCCTCACTCAACTTGACCGTGATTAGGTGAAATTAGGGTCGCTTTATCAATTACTCATTTGGTCTAGTCCCAAGAGCGAACATCCATTTCTCATCTGTTAAATCTTGAATAACTTAATTATAACAAGACGTACCCTATATAATTAGACGCCCCGGCTCGAAAGCGCCTTTTAAAGTATGGAGTGGGAATTATAATTGCAAGTGTTTAAAATTAATAAGGATTTTAGCAGACATCGAATTTTCAATTTAAAACTTGTTTTAAATGTCCAATATGAAAACGGTTTTAATTATTTTAATGGAGCTTATGTTTAGTCTGATCTGCGTTTTCAATTGGCAGAATGGTATTTTCTTTTTAAAGAGATCTCGCCCTGTGCCTTCTTAATGTGAAGCTAACAGTTTAGTATTTTTATGCAGCGGATACAATATTTTTATTATAAACTAGCTGACCCGGCAAACGTCGTTTTTCCATGTATATTATTTCTAGGAAATGTTTTTTTAGCTCAATAAAAATAACTATCTACTATAATAAAAATAAGGGTTGACCGGAGAGGTGACAATTAAAGGTTGTATGTATTTTTGTATGCTGTATCATAAAAAATAAAAATTTAGGGGAGGGAGTTTACATTTTGGGGGATGAAAAATAGATGTTGTCCGATTCTCAAACTTACTGAATATGCATAAAAAATTTCACAATAATCGGTCGAGCCGTTTCAGAGGAGTATGGGAACGAACATTGTGACACGAGAATTTTAGATATTAGATATGTGTTGGAATTAAATATCTGAAAGTTACATATATTTAATAAGTTTTAATTTCCAAACTTTAATTTTAATTTATCACTGATTCGTTTACTGTACAGCTTGCATGAACGAAGTCATAGTTTTGGCTGGGCACTAATAGACTTTATGTCTATGTGCGCATTTAACATTCTCTGGTACAGTGAAAAAAAACACAGTTAGGAAACCGGCATGCCTTGAAACCAAAAGTCGACCACGTGTCAGAAAGGCTTATCACCAACTGTCTATTAGAAAAAATAAATAATTACGAAACTGATACATAAATCGGGCGCGACCTAAAGAGGTTGTAGCGCCACTGGTATTTTTATATACTCTTTAGAATAGGTTCTTTTGGTGGTTTGGCTTACGATTTATCGATTGATCGGCCATAAGTCATTTTCAAATGCCGATAGCTGCCCTGCGATTCTGTTACTCACTTTTCGAACTCGCACAGCGGATTTCGCATCGACGGTCGCTCTCAAATCAGTCGTGAAGCAGTCATTTTATGATTTGGCATTCTGAAAAGGTGGGAGCTTGTAGTCTATTGATTATTAGATCAAATTTAAACAAAACCTACCTCTGAAATATAACTAAAACAATGAAAGACACGAAACAAAATGTCGATTTTTTTTCTGTTCCATTTTCGACTTAGTTTCGATTCAGTTTGGGCTTAGTTTCGGTTCAGTTTCGACTTAGTTTCGGTTCAGTTTCGACTGTTTTATTGTTAGCTCATGACCGATATGGAGGATCACTGTGGACGCCCTCTGCCTACAGTAAGTCAAAATATAATATTTTTCTTTTAAGCACACTTAAGTTAGTAGTTAATTTAACTTTCCAAATGTTCATATATTTGCGTACTCATAACATTAAGAGGCCCTCGTAGCTCCGTCCATTTTCATCAACATTTCAAGTTTTTCAATAAAAACTTTCGCTGCGCCCACATTTTAGATTTATGTATATACTTAAAACCTCCCCAGTTCATTGGTCACGCAATTGTCTGTACAGGGTTTGATTTTTAGATTCAAACAATATTCAAGCGTGTATTCAAATGTTTTTTTTAAATGGTGCCACAAAATGGCGGATTTCTTTTTTATATGTATCAAATAATTTGTATACTTATTTTATACTAATTACATAAATATGTAATTAAAGTAAATTACTTTGATAATTCGTGAGAGAAAATCAATTTGGGAGATGGAAACAGTTTCAAAAAAATATAGATTGTAATTGGAATCACAAAAAAATGGAATTACCTATTAAGTTTGTTATAGAAGAGCTAGGAACCCTTACTCAGACTTTATACTTAGAAAAGGTTCCCAAATCTTTCACCGTTAGGTATCATGCATTGTATATAATGAATAAACACATTTTTTTTTATCAAATCTTTATAAAGGGCTAGTGCATCGTAGTAGCATCAGGTATTGTGCGTTCATAGATTGGTATCTTCTGTTTAATATACGATAATATCTAGTATCCGGATTTCTGGTTGAATATTTTATCGCAAAATAAATTCTGTTTTCCGCTCACGTCCACACTTATTCGTTGCTTGCACATCAACTGTAATACTCTATGGGTGCAACCGTGTTTAGTGCTGGTCTGTGCATAACTGTG